TATCATAAATTAGTTAAATCCCCTGATGTTTAAATCGTACAGTATATTTTATATATTAACATTCAGATGAACACAACAATTTTTGTCACAGAAAAAAACAACACACTGATGCTGACATTGTGCAAATGTCGAAAGTGCTCTGAATAAATGAATATATATCAACATGGTAATTTTATCTATTTCTTTAATAAGGATACTAAGAAACTTGTCCGTGAATATGACAGGATCCTATTGAAAATAAGTAAAGAAAATGTGTCTAAAATATTCAGTGAGACATGACTTAAGGAAAACGTGTTGCGTTATATATATATATATATATATATAATTATTATTTATAAAAAATTATAACATAAGTATGTTATAAAATCACTACAAAAATAGCCATTTTGTTTCAACACACTCGGTGTCTTATCAAGTGATGATGTTGAAGATAAAACCTTTATTTTATGTCCAACATCATCACTTGATAAGACACCGAATGTGTTGAAACAAAATGGCTATTTTTGTAGTGATTTTTTGTATTGAGCACTCTTTAAGAATAGTAATTGTTGGTTATTGGAATTCATTCCATATATACCAATTATATACTTGATATATATATATATATATATATATATATATATATATATATATATATAGTATGAAATGGACAAAGTCCGACCATTATTTTAAGACATTTTTATGTTTATGCATTCTTTTTATAGATACAAATATTTAAGTAAATGCTCTGTTTATAGTAAACAGTATTAAACAACATTTACCAACCTGAATGTCCGAGAAATTTTCACAGAAAATATTCATAACTATTTAAAACCATTTTTATATCTACCGTGAAACATTACATACCAATTATTTGTGATTTTGACTCAGGAGTTCAGGCAGAAGGGTTAAAATTGTTCAGGAACGCTGGGGTCAAAGGGTTAAAGCACACGTTTCGTTGAGATTTTTCAAAACTATATTTAGTAGATTTATTTTCGTAATTTTCTAAGTTTTTTTTTTATTCGACATTATTTTTTATTATAAAGGTTAATTTAAGTGAGTACATGTGTTTGAATTAGTACTCCTCAGCAAAACCATTCCTATAGGCGAAGCAAACCCTTACCAATTTGGTCACGGGAGATTATTTCTTATTTTTAATACTCCTGGGGATGACGATAAATTACATCCAGCAGCAAGGCCTCTAATCGGTAGGTTTTGAATAGCGTGGAATAACGTCTTAATTCCTGTTGTTCTCAAATCCACCTTGACCTGGGGTAGTAACACCTGTTAGGGTTCAAGCTATGGGCAAATAATGAAATGGCAAAAAAAAAAAAAAAACGCTATGAAAGTATAAAAATACATTTTTATAGTAAAAATAACAGCAATATATCAGGTCATCCCATAAGTTCTGTCCGAATTTTGAATAAAGAAAACAAGTGACCAAATCTTACATTTAATTATAGATTCAATCAACAATGTATTTTCCCTGATTATCTATGACTTCCTTCCATCTATTAACAAGCTTACTAATTCCGTTACTGTAAAATACTTTTGGCTTTGATTCGAAGAACTCACAAATGTCAGTTTTAACCTCTTCCTGTGTTACAAAAGCTGTTTCTTCCAAATGATTCTGTAAGCTATGAAACAAATGGTAGTCTGAAGGAGCAAGATCGGGAGAATAAGGTGGATGAGGAATTTTCTCCCAACCAAGTTCTTCGATCTTTTGTGACGTGATTCTTGCTGTGTGGGGTCACGCATTGTCCTGATGAAACATCGCCTCTTTTCCATTCACTAGAGCAGGTCTTTTTTTCCTCAAAGCTTGGTTCAAACGCTCTAATTGCTGACAGCATTAATTGTTGCATTAGATGGTAATAATTCAAAGTGGATTATTCCTTAGCGATCCCACCAGATTGAAAGAAGAACCTTTTGCATATGAAGTTCCCTTCTCGGCTGTGGCTGGGGTCCTTCCCCTTTACCAAGCCACTGTCTACGACGCTTAACATTTCGATAAAAGATCCATTTTTCGTCGCCAGTCACAAGTCTATCCAAAAAAGGTGAAATAAGTTGGCGAGAATGAAGAGAAGAGCAGATGTCAACTCAGGATTTGAGGTTGTCTTCAGACAATTCATGAAGCACCCATTTTCCAAGTTTAGGAACTTTTTCAATTTGTTGAAGATGACGATGAACAGTTGTATGGTTTGAACAGAGAACCACTGCCAATTCCTCAACTGATAAAGCAGGATTTTCTTCAAGGGCTGCTTTTTGAAGCAGCCCTTGAAGAAAATCAAACTCAACTGGACGTCCGGTTCGATCTTCATCTTCAAGGGTGAAATCTCCACCTCTGAATTTTGCAAACCATCTTCTGCAAGTTCTTTCATTCACACATTCCTCTCCATAAACTGAGTGAATGTTTCTAGCCGCTTCGGCTGCTGAGTTTCCTTTCTTGAACTTATAAAGCATTATGTACCTCCTAGCAGGAATCCCCTTGTATTCTCTTTTACACCAAGGAAATGCTTCCTGTTGCCGAAGTGTACCCTTAGGCCACGGGGAAAAAAGTGAAACAGTTATTAGAGGCAACTTCTTTATTTAGTGGGACTTCTCGATAATTACCGTAATTCCCCATATATAACGCGCATTTTTTTCTAAAAAGTTATAAGCCAACTTATGGGTGCGCATTATGCACAGCTACAAAAAATCTTTAAAAAATTGTCGTTTCAGTTATGAAATAACTACTCACCACAAACATAAGTCAATTTAGCACTAACATTCGGCGATTGCGACCCCATCAGGATGTCAAATACAATCATATGTACCTAACAATACTTAGAAATGTAAAATAAAATAAGAATTATCATAAAATTAAATTAGAATAATATTATTCTATGTTTAAAACCATTTTTAATAAGAGTAGGAAACGCTGGCCGTAATCAAATTGAAGAGGTGTAATTTATAGGGTTTGGTTATCAAACAAGGGGTGCGTATTATGCGTAAGTAGAAGCATTTTTCCACACGTTCAGCACAATTTTAGGGGTGCATATTATGGTTGAAGGCGTATTATACATGAGGAATTATGTCAATTTGATATTAATTCATTTCACTCATTAAGAAAATAAAAACAGGGGCGACAATTCAGACAGGTGTAATTAATAGAATATTTTTTACAGTAACATAGCTGAACTACAAATCGGAGAGCTGAGTTCGAATTCCAGACAAACATTCACTCATTTTGGACATTCATCTTGCTCACGCCATCTAGACAGACTGTTTGGCAAAAAGAAAACGGAACCCATCTCTTCTCACGCCATCGAAAGGACATGATAGACTATCACGTACGACGCATGACTGACCTATCCTAGCCTTAGTAGTTGGTAAACCGCAGAAAGAAACGGCAACCTACTTCGGGAAAATATTGGGCCTAATCAAACATGAATCGAAAAGAACATTCTACCCAGTAAAACAGGACTTTATTTTATCTCTTCTCCCTAGCTATTATCAATAGGAAGAAGTCTGGGTCCTATCCATGCGTGACTATCAAAGGCAAGCTACGACGCATGACCATGCGTGATCACGTTGACTTTATTTCTTTTCTCCCTAGCTATAGGTTGACTAGAAAGACAGACTGGGTCCTATAGACCTGGTTGGTAACCAGTCTATCGAATGAAGAAACTGCAACCTACTTCGGGAAAGTATTCTACCCAGTAAAACATCAATCGAAAGAGACATGATGTCCCAAGGGTGTATCACGTTGTAGAAAAATCATGTGGTAAAGATAAACATTCAGTTGTGGAGCAAGCTAAGTGAATAATAATCCCTTTAGAAAGAGAGCTATTTATGGTGCCATGGAGCATCTCATTGTCCTAAAGTGGGATAGTCCATTGCTTGGGCTGTGATTGGCTGCTGGTACCTGAGTGGAAATATTTCTATATAAATACCAGCTTGATTCATTAATTAGTTTGCAGAGTTTGTATTAAGTTACAACCTGCTTTATTTTTGTCTGCCAGCTGGACGCTAGCTGGGACATTTACGCCGGTAAGTGCTGTTTATTATTGTTATTCTACACACGTATGGCACATAACTGACTTTATCTCTTCTCCCTTTAGCTATGAGCTGAATAGAATGACAGACTAGGCTTTGAAGCCTTGGTTGGTACCCAGTCTACTGCAGAAAGAACTGTCAAACCACTCCGGGAAAATATTCGGCCTAGTCAAACATGAATCGAAAGAGACATGATCGCCCAAGCGTATGGCACTTAACTAACTGATTGACTATATGCATTGGCGTAACTGAATTGGAGACGAAAGAGTTAATCTACCGATAGGAGTTTTATTTGATCTGGTAGGGATTTCCAAGCTAAGATATACATCTCCTACCCCAGCCACAGCAAATATAACTGCCATGGGAACTTTGACATGTTGCGGTTTCTCTAAATAAATCTCTCCCCAAGGTAATTAGTCTGAACGCATGTGTATGTGAGATATTTCATCAGCTTATCTTGGTCTTTTACGGGAGCATGCTAATGTGAATGTCGGTATTCGCTGAACGTATGAGGACGAGTGTTTCTCTCTCAAAATAACTGATTGGCCGACTGATTCCAGTCTTCACACCGATAATAGTTACGCCACTCGCACGTCCTTCGTTCGTAACCCTATCGCAGAAAGCTTGCAGAGAAATGGAATTAAAACTGACCTCGAAAATTGGCTTCCAGTCAGTGGTTAACTGGGGCAAGGAATGACTTGCATATTTTAACACCCCCACCCAAAAAAACCGAAACAGGTTCCATTTAATCACCATAGAGAAACTTTTTACCTGCCGTCAGCATGGCCGATGCTCACCTACAGAAGAGCAACTCTTTGAGCCTACTTCAGTTCACGTTTACTTCTGACATGAAATGGAGTGATTATATTGAATCATATCGCCCTGTTCACACTTCTTCCCGTCTATTGAATCATAGCGTCCGGTTCGCACTTCTTCCCAGTATATTGTATAATATCGACCGATTCACACTTCTTCACCGTCTATAGTATCATATCGCCCGGTTCACACTTCTTTCCCCGTTTATTGAATCATATCGCCCGGTTCACACTTCTTCCACATCTATTGATTCATATCGCTCGATTCACACTTCTTCCCAGTATATTGTATCATATCGCCTGACTCACTATTCTTCGCCGTCTATTGACTCATATCGCCCGGTTCACACTTTTTCCGCGTCAATTGATTCATATCGCCCGATTCACACTTCTTCCCAGTATATTGTATCATATCGCCCGTTTCACACTTCTTCGCCGTCTATTGAATCATATCGCCCGGTTCACACTTTTTCCGCGTCAATTGATTCATATCGCCCGATTCCCAGTATATTGTATCATATCGCCCGACACTTCTTCCCGTCTATTGAATCACATCGCCCGGTTCACACTTCTTCCACGGCTATTGATTCATATCGCCCGATTCACACTTACATTTTCTCAGCGACATTATTGCCTTTCTATGGGTGAAACGATTTTAAAAAATAACATATGGATATATATATATATATATATATATATATATATATAATTGTATGTGTGTGTACAGCCACGTGAAGATCGCAAGAGCGTAAAACTTGATTAGCGACTCGAGCTGTCCTTCTTCGAGTGTTGATGTTGTGAAGCATTTTTGACTCCGTCTTGATAGTCTAGATGTTTACCAATTTAATTTCATGCGTAGGTAGGTAATTTGCCTTTGGTCTTTCTTTTTCTTGTCTAAGATTTTAGGACTTTTCGCAATTTGTATATTGGTCGTACCAACTTTGTTGAATTTCTGTTGCATATATGCCTTCTCCATGCGTTGTCGACGCACGATCTGTAACATAAGACAGTGTGATCGCATATGGCAATTCTATTTACGATGAAAGAATGATGCAAAGGATAGGGGACATCTTTTTTATACACTTGTACCCTTCTCAAAATGATCATGTTATTAGGCGTTTCGAAAAATAATGTCCAATATCCTAGAAACAATTTTATTGTCTTCTAATATATTATTATTGGAGTGGAGGCACGTTGGAGTAATTGGGAGCGGTTAGGAGTGAGGAATCGGAGAGCCGAGTTCGTGTTGTATCCTTAAAGAAGGTTACAGACAGACAAAGATGGTACTCGAGTGAAGGAACAGCAAAACGTGCGTACATGAAAGAAAGAGAGGTTTATTGTAAAAGAGAATACACTACTGAAGGAGAGAGAAACGGGTAGCAGGCTAGTAATTCCCGAAACAAGCTTATCTACCAGCCACCCCACGCGGTCAGATGTAGCACAAGGCCGAATTTAATGTGGGTTATCCGAGCCTGTAGGCTCGGGCAAAAATTATTTTTATAAAACGGCATCGGGTGGCTGTTTCCCGAGACGAGACCCTGCCCTTCGACATAGCCTCGTCTGGGAATTCCTCTCTGCCCGTAGACAGAGAGTTTGACCAGCAGAGCTGGAGATGAATCTCCAACTAATACCCACAGCAAGGTTATTTACCTCACCTTCCCGCGAGGCAGGATGTGGCACAAGGCCGTTTTTAATGCGGGTTTAAAACCGAGTCCGTGGGCTCGGGCAAAAATTCCCCGTAGATCCCATAAAAACGGGGTCTGGTAGCTGTCTACCACACCAAACGTGTCTCTGCCCTTCGACAAAGCCTCGTCTGGGAATCCACTCTGCCCGGAGACAGAGAATTTGACCAGCACAGCTGGAGACGAATGGTATATCCTGTGCTCAATATATATATATATATATATACATGGTATAACCTGTGCCCAATATATTTATATACATGGTATATCCTGTGCTCAATATATATATATATATATATATATATATACATACTGATATAGTCAGTCCATATGTGGGAGATACCATTATAACAATTCAAATTCCCGTCGAATCCGTTACATTCATTTACGTACTAATGCCCTTGGGAAAGGTATGAATCCTATTCTTCTCCCTCCAGCTATGGGCAAATAGCAGGACAGATTGGGTCCTATAGTCTTGGATGGTAACTGATCAAAAAGAAATTGTACCCTACTGCGGGGAAAAAACTGCCTCGTCAGTCATGTATCGAAAGATACATGATCACCTAAGCGTGTCTCACTCATGGCACATAACTGACTGACTTTCCAATCGAATACATTACATTCACTTACGGGCTAATAATCCTAGGAAAGGTATGAATCCTCTTTTTCTACCCCACTCAGCTATGGGTAAATAGCAGGACAAACTGAGTCCTATAGCCTTGATGGCAACTGGTTTACTGCAGAAAAAAAAATATCTGCTTTGTCAGTCATGTATCGAAAGATACATGATCGCCTAATCGTGTATCACGCATGGCACATAACTGACTGACTTACTTTCCAGTTGAATCCATTACATTCATTTACGGACTAATACCCTTGGGAAAGGTATGATTCCCCCCCCCGCTATGGGTAAATAGCAGGACAGACCAGGTTCTATAACCTTGGATGGAAATTGGTCTGCCGCAGAAAAAAATGGCAACATAATGCAGGGGAAAAATCTGCCTCGTCAGTCAAGTATCGAAAGATACATGATCGCATGAACGTGTAACACGCATCACATATAACTGACTGATATAACCCTTATCTAGAACAGGAAAACAAGAAGACGCGTGTACTTTTTTTTTTGCATGAGTTCGAGCTTGGTTCTAATACCTCTGAAATTGCAGCCAAATTTGAAGGATGAAGTTGAAGAATACAATTGTGATCGAAGAGTTGGTTTCTAAAATTATGCTGTGAGATAGAAGTCCCGAAGATCAAGATGTTAAAGACGTCAATTTGCAATTAACAATCAACATCTGAAAAAATCTAGTCGAAAAAAACCTACGTCAAATGTCTCGGATAATAAGTGTCAGTATTTCAACAATATCGAAACATCTCAAGGGAAGTGGCAAGGCGAAGAAATTTGATAAATTCTTTCAAAATTTATTGAAACAAAACAATTTCAGTTGACCATTGATGACAATTCCAGAACAACGTAACTATAAACAATTTTTTTCTATCCTCTGTCGGCCGCAATGATGGAGAAAGCATTACCTCGAACCATCGCCAGTGAGACACACTGCAAGAGCCACTCCGTTTCACGAGGCTCGTCCCTTAATCGAGACGCAATCGCGCCAATCCTCCGAAGGAACGCCATCGAACGAGGGCCAATAATCCCTGAAGTCTTCACTGCCACAGGAGTAAAAAAAAATCTGTCAGCAAGAAAAGAATATTTAACTATTTTTTTCATCTCTGCGTCCCGGGCGACGGATCCTGGCTCAACCGCGGACCTGATCAAATTACCGACCGAAAATGTATCCGCACAGGTCGCATCCCAAATCAACGACTTCCTCATTTTAAAAGGGAAAATGGTAATGCCATCCGGCCGCTTTCCATCACCGCGGTCGAGGCCTACGGATTCAATTTGGGAAGGGAACCCAGCTGCATCCAAACCTCATTTGATGATGTCGTTAATGGCTGCATGCCGTGGTAAACGACTGGCACTACGACGATAGGAGAGAGGATGCAAACCAAATTCATCGATGGAGGCTTCACATCTGCATCTGTGACGCTCACATAATTTGAGTCCAACACGTATTCCGACTCCGAAATTTGGTAAATTAGTTTCACATGAATTCAATGAAAGCCAAAGAGTTCTTCAATTCGATGCATTCGAAGGATCAATGCTCGAATCATGATTTGTGAAGTGTAACGGATCCTTTATATTGATTTGCTAAGGGTAGCTTAAATGTGGCACAAGGCCGAAAGTATGGGACATCCAGTGAGGATCGAACTCACTATCCAGTCGTAACTGTTTTAGTGAGACAAGCTTGCTAACCATTACACAACGCCGAGGCGCCCTTATTTTCTAAATGTAGCTTAGTTGTGGCACAAGGCCGAAAGTCTGGGGCACCCAGTGACGGTCGAACTCACTATTCTGCATGTCTGTTAAAATTAGAGGCCAACGCTATTTTCATTTTAGCGTTATTTAGAGGACAATTTATCCATCGCAGCCTGTATAGCTGTTAAAATGGGATGCCGTTGTTATTTTCATTTTGGCGTCATTCGGACGACAATTTATCCATCGCAGATTGTATATCTGTTAAAATGAGGTCATTTTAACAGGTCAGTGTCATTTTCGTTTTTGCTTCATTTAGACGACAATTTATCCGTCGCAGCCTGTATATCTTAAAATGAGGAATATTATTTTCGTTTTGGCCTCATTTAGACGACAATTTATCCATCGCGCCCTGTATATCTGTTAAAATGAAATGCCAGTATTATTTTCGTTTTGGTGTCATTTAGACAACAATTTATACATCGCAGCCTGTATATCTGTTAAAATGAGATGCCAGTATTATTTTCGTTTTGGCGTCATTTAGACGACAATTTATACATCGCAGTCTGTATATCTGTTAAAATGAGATGCCAGTATTATTTTCGTTTTGGCGTCATTTAGACGACAGTTTATCCATCGCGCCCTGCATATCTGTTAAAATGCGATGCCAATATTATTTTCGTTTTGGCGTCATTTGGACGACAATTTATCCATCGCGCCCTGCATATCTGTTAAAATGAGATGCCAATGTTATTTTCGTTTTGGCGTCATTTAGACGACAATTTATACATCGCAGCCTGTATATCTGTTAAAATGAGATGCCGGTGTTATTTTTATTTTGGCGTCATTTGGACGACAATTTATCCATCGCACCCTGTAAAGTACGCAAAGATGTCACAGCCATAGAATAGGTCACTCCTGTCCAGTCATCCCTAATTCAACGTATCCAATGAATTTACTCGTAGTTATCGCCATGGAGAAAGTTTCTACGCTCAGATTTGTTCATACGGCCTTCGTTCGCGTCTTCCGTTTCTCGGGGTTGCATACAAGAATTTATCGTGACAAATCTGTTCCTTCTTTTGTCTTTGATTTCTCGATTGTAGATAATTCCATTCTGCATGAATGATACAATTAAGGCCCATTCTTTCATGAAACGCTGGACGGATAATGCCGCGTAACCTTACGAGGGTAATGGCATTGTACGCTCAACGTGGTAATCCGCACGATACATGCCTTCCATCCCCCCCACCCCACACCTCGTTTGTTATGACACGGCACAGCTCAAAGTCAATCTGTTTCCGAATATTAATCTGCGCGCGTGTACGGTTGGGTAAGACATCTCTTAAAGCCGTGTTTCTCAACCTTTTTAAGCAACGGCACACCTAGGGGCAAATGAAAATATTATAGTACACTTAGCAAACTTATTAAAAGGGTTACATTTAAATGTTGTTAAATAAAAGCATACATTGTTTTTTTGTTTGTTTGTTTTTTTTTTAAATAGTTCACACAAATATGAACTTTATTTCAAGGTTTCTAGTGAATAATTTTTGCAACTTATTTCGTGTGAAACTTACCTGTTTTTTTTTTTTCGCGATTTCTTCAATGAATATACGATAATCAGGTCCTCATTTCTTCTTCAGTTCAGTATA